ACCAGGTAAAGACAACACAATGAAAGAGAATTACAGGCCAATATCCCTCATGAACATAGATGCCAAAATCCTCAACAAAATCTTAGCAAATCGGATCCAGCAGTACATCAGAAAGATCATACACCATGACCAAGTAGGATTTATCCCAGGGATGCAAGGATGGTACAATATCCGCAAATCAATCAACGTGATACATCACATAAACAAATTGAAGGAAAAAAACCACATAGTCATATCAATTGATGCAGAAAAAGCATTTGACAAAATTCAACACCCATTTTTGATAAAAACTCTCAGCAAGGTGGGAATAGAAGGATCATACCTCAACATAATAAAAGCCATATATGACAAACCCACAGCCAACATCATACTCAATGGACAAAAACTAACACCATTTCCCCTAAAAACAGGAACAAGACAGGGATGCCCACTCTCACCACTCCTGTTCGACATAGTACTGGAAGTATTAGCCATTGCAATTAGACAAGAAGAAGAAATAAAAGGCATCCAAATTGGAAAAGAGGAAGTAAAACTGTCCTTATTTGCAGATGACATGATATTATACTTAAAAAACCCTAAAGACTCCATCAAAAAACTATTAGACTTAATAAAAGAATTCGGCAATGTAGCAGGATACAGAATTAACGCCAAGAAATCTATGGCATTTCTATACACCAATAGTGAACTTGCAGAAAGAGAGACTAAAAAAGCAATCCCATTTACCATCTCACCAAAAAAATTAAGCTACCTAGGAATAAACTTAACTAAAGAGGTAAAAGACCTCTACTCAGAAAACTACAGGACGTTGAAAAAAGAGATAGAGGAAGACATAAAGAGATGGAAGAACATACCATGTTCTTGGATTGGTAGAATCAACATCATTAAAATGTCCATACTGCCCAAAGCAATCTATAAATTCAACGCACTTCCCATTAAAATACCAACGGCATATTTCACAGACCTAGAACGAACTCTCCAAAAATTCATCTGGAACAAAAAACGACCCCGAATAGCTGCAGCGATCCTGAGAAAGAAGAAAGTAGGTGGGATCTCAATACCAGATATCAAGCTGTATTACAAAGCCACTGTTCTCAAAACTGCCTGGTACTGGCACAAGAACAGACATATAGATCAATGGAATAGAATAGAGAGCCCAGAAATCAGCCCCAACCAATACGCTCAATTAATATTTGACAAAGGAGGCAAGAACATACAATGGAGTCAAGACAGTCTCTTCAATAAATGGTGCTGGGAAAATTGGACAGATACATGCAAGAAAATGAAACTAGACCACCAACTTACACCATACACAAAAATAAACTCAAAATGGATAAAGGACTTAAATATACGACGGGAAACCATAAAAATACTAGAAGAATCCAAAGGCAACAAAATCTCAGACATATGCCGAAGCAATTTCTTCACCGATACAGATCCTAGGGCATTGGAAACTAAAGAGAAAATAAACAAATGGGACTACATCAAAATAAAAAGTTTCTGCACAGCAAAAGAAACCATCAACAAAACAACAAGAAAGCCCACTACATGGGAGAACATATTTGCCAACATTATATCTGATAAGGGCCTAATCTCCAAAATTTATAGGGAACTCATACAACTTAACAAAAGGAAGATAAACAATCCAATCAAAAAATGGGCAAAGGATCTAAATAGACACCTTTCAAAAGAGGACATTCAGAAAGCCAAGAGACATATGAAAACATGCTCAAAGTCACTAATCATCCGAGAGATGCAAATCAAAACAACAATGAGGTACCATCTCACACCTGTCAGACTGGCTATCATCAACAAATCAACAAATGACAAGTGCTGGAGAGGATGTGGAGAAAAAGGAACACTTGTGCACTGCTGGTGGGAATGCAGACTGGTGCAGCCACTATGGAAGACAGTATGGAGTTTCCTCAAAAAACAAAACATGGAACTCCCATTTGACCCTGTGATCCCACTTCTAGGAATATATCCCAAGAAACCAGAAACACCAATCAGAAAGGATATATGCACCCCTATGTTCATAGCAGCACAATTCACCATAGCTAAGAGGAAGAACTTGAAAACCTATTTGAAGAAATAATGACTGGAAACTTCCCCTACCTGGTGAAAGAAATTAGACTTACAAGTCCAGGAAGCACAGAGAGTCCAGTCCTAAACAAGAGGAACCCAAAGAGGCCCACACCAAGACACATCATAATTAAAATGCCAACAGCAAAAGACAAAGAGAAAATCTTAAAAGCAGCAAGAGAAAAACAGTTAGTTACCTACAAGGGAGTGCCCATATGACTGTCAGCTGATTTCTCAACAGAATCTTTGCAGGTCAGAAGGGAGTGGCAAGAAATATTCAAAGTGATGAATAGCAAGGACCTACAACCAAGATTATTCTACTCAGCAAAGCTCTCATTTAGAATTGAGGGTAAGATAAAGAGCTTCACAGACAAGAAAAAGCTAAAGGAATCATCACCACCAAACCAGTATTACATGAAATGTTGAACGGTATTCTTTAGGAAGAGGAAGAAGAAGGAGCAGGAGGAGGAGGAGGAAGAGGAGGAGGAGAAAGGATAAAACATATGAATAATAAAATAGCAATAAATACATATCTATCAACAATTGAATCTAAAAATCAAAATAAACAAACAAGAAACCTAATGAACAAAATAAACTGGTAAATAAAATAAAATCAGAGGCATGGAAGCATGGAACAGACTGAGGAACCTCAGAGGAAAGGGAAAAAGAATAACCAAAGATCTTACCTATGGACACAAACAATAGGGTGGTGAAGGTCTGGGGCAGGGCGAGAACCAGGTGGAAGGGGGCAAGGGGGAGAAAAAAAGGGACATCTGTAATACTCTCAACAATAAAGATTTAAAAAAAATGAATCTACTATATTCCAAACCCCTTTCACAGCCCTATCTGGTGGTTGATGGGAAAGTAGGAAGGGAAGGGTAACTGACAATAAAACAAAATGACACATAAATCTAATGTTTTTTAACTTAAAATAAAACATAATGACTGAAAAGAAATTTCAGTAATTCCATCACTCTGAGAAGCATGTTTTTTTTTCCTGCCAGCCATTTTTCTAGGCATGTATGTAACAAATAAATAAATAAATAAATTGTAAAAAGAAAAAACAAAACCTAATGACTGTAACGGGCAGGAGGTTGCATCAGAGTGCAATCTTACATGAGAGATTATTTTGGCAAAAGGAGGGAGGAATATTTGCTAATAGAGAAGTGCTAGTAGCTTTGGCATTGGCAGGGGCCTTTTGGGAGAGGGGCCTTCTAATCTTTAAGGTGCTCAGTGTCTGCAGAGCCTGGATTCTCTCCTGAGGTAAGGGGGTGTATTTTGCAGGATTTTAAGTTGAGACGTGATCCATTTTAGGAGTATTATCTGGCAGGGATGCTGAGCATGAGCTGAAGGAAGAAAAGATGACAAGGGACAAGAAGTCAAGATTTCTGCATGGATAGGAAAGATGAGATAAGGCCAACAGAGTTAGAGGCTGAAAGAGCAAAGCAGAGCCAGAGTGGGGGTGATGTCAGCAGGTTACAAAAGAAAACACCTGCATTTTGCTCTGCCACCTTTGGAGCAAGTTCGTATTTCTAATCCTACTTGTTAGATGAATTGCTCGTGTATGCCCAATGTAAAACTGTCCATGGGAAAACACAATAAGTTCATGCATTAATTAATTTGGCATGATAAATCAAAAGAAGAGTTTTCTGTAATTCTCTCCAAGAATCATAGGGGAAAACATAAGAGACATCATAGCCACCAAGTATGTCTCCATCTCAGTGCCATGAAAAATGGGAAGCATCCTCCACTGGCCCGGGGCCCGAGCCTTTGGTTTCCAGGCCAAGCCCGTCCTGCTCAATACTTCCTCAGGCCACCTCCAGCCTTATCCTGGGAGACAACAGTTTACCCCAGGTCATGTGGGAAGGGAGTAGATAAGCAGATAATTAACGTGCAGTTTGTAGTTTGAAAGCACTACTCTTCCTTCTCTTCAGTTTCAAACAGCAGTATGTCAAACTGGGATGAGCCATAATGCCAAATCCTAGATTTTAGTCCAACAGGTTTTCTCAGTCTCCAACACAGGCCTGTGTATCTCTGCAAGGCCTCCCCACCTGCATTGTCCCCTTTTTCTTGTCTCATTCAAATCTTGTGTTTAAGATCTCAGTTTTCACATAGATTTCACAAAGATTGTGAAATTTGGGTTTCACAAGCTGGCAGACCCACTCTTCATTAATAATCAGGTAACTTGCATTATGCTTAGTGTTGTATATATTTCTGTATTGTTCTTTAACTTTGTGAGCATTTACCAACCTCGGTTACTATCTGGCTTGTTTCTATGCCTCCTTGCCGCCACAGCTTGCACCTCTGCTACACCAGGTCCCACCTGTGCAGAGGCCCCTTGTTTGATACCTTCCTGCCCCCAATGACTTCTCTTTTAACAGTTTACACTTGCCCACCTGATAGAGGACAAATTCCCATTGTGATAGGAATTCCCTCAAACTTTAGAAAATGATGGTTGGTTTCCCTTAAATTAAACACAAGCATAATCTTGCTAAAAACGGGAGGCAAAAACCCAAAAGCCAAAACATTATACATATTAAGATGTATTTTTATTGCCCATAAAATCATAATTTGAGTCCATAGCTGAATAGTGAATAGCTGTCAGAAATAAACTGACTCAGTTTAAAGCTAACCAACACTCTCTCGTCATCTACAAAGCCGATAGACCTCCTTACTTAACTTTTCATCAGTTGTCAACTGATCACATTAAACAAAATTACCCCACTCTTATCCAGAGTTCAGGCCTTTTGTTAATGGCATTTGGAACAGGCTTGTACAAACAAATCAGCTTCTGAAAGGGCTGAGGCAGCCTCCCGATTCTTTCTACAGGCTAAAGGTTCTTTTATCCCCTTTCTGCATTTACGAGTCTTTGACAGACTTCCCCAGGGGACTGGTTATGTTCTTAAAAATAAAATACATACCAAATTCTCCTTCTTTGGCAGAAAATGAGCTACTTGTTAGATGTGCTGCTGCCAAAAGATTCATTAAAGTTTCTGGAGCTTCATGCCGCCACTGTTTCCTATTTTCTGGAATGCCACTGATCGCCATCACTTGGCCATCTGAAGAGGAGACTGTGTTATTAAAAAGAAAAACGCTTCTTCATTTGAGTTTTTATAAAATCACAGAATGTTGTTAGAACCTTGGAGGTAACCTCATCCCATCACTCACTTTATTAGTAAGAAAACTGAGATATAGAAAAGTTTAGTGACCTTTGTCACATAGATGGTGGGTAGTAGAGTCACTTTTTGCTCTATTCTATTTGCTTATTTTTTTATTATATTTCCCTCTTATTGAATCATTGACTTAGAATGGATTAAATTATACATTTGCAAGCCTTTTCTTGAAAGTTTAATGAATTCAGTATTTTGTAATAGTAAAATATGTCAGTTCATACTCTTACAATTACTAATTTCAGTGATATACTTACATACTTTAACTTATAACATGGTAATAAATTTTAGCTGTTCCCCGGCCCCAAGAACATAGGAAATAAGTTATAAAAATCTTTACCACCTATAAAGGTAACACCTGGATGTTCCTATAAACCTCTCCTAAGGAAAGACTATGCCAGAGCTCAAATGTAAATGAGGAATTTTGATTGGAAGTTTCATCACATACTAAACACTCCTAACATTTAAATAACACATTGGTTTACAAAGCAATTTTAAATGTTATCTTTGCACTGTTACCTCTCTAAATCTTGTGGGATAACTATTATTTTAATTCCAATTTTATTGATTAAAAAACAACCCTTCAAGAAATTGTAGCATAGTTATTGGCTAGCATTTGAAGGCAAATCAAGTTGCCTGCCCTTTCGTGTAGTACATTCTCTCTCACTGTGAAGAAGGAAGAATTCTGGATCATTCCTCACTTACTTTCTCATGGCGAGGATAGTCAATTGTCTAGGGCCGTGGTCGGCAAACTGCAGCTCGCGAGCCACATGCGGCTCTTTGGCCCCTTGAATGTGGCTCTTCCACAAAATACAGACTTCTGTGCATGGGCCACGAAGTTTCAATCTCACTGTACATGCGCACCCGCACATGGTATTTTGTGGAAGAGCCACACTCAAGGGGCCAAAGAACCGCATGTGGCTCGCGAGCCGCAGTTTGCCGACCACTGGTCTAGGGTAATTAGCAAGCAAGTTTCTCTAGAGCTAGTGGAGGAACCAAACAGTATCTTTGGAAGGCATTTGATACCAAATCTATAGGGACTGTACTGAAAGTGAGAACTATCAGGTCATGGTGAACGCTGGCTGCATTTGGGGCATTGATCTCCTCTTGCTGGTGATTTATGCCAACGGATCTAAATTCACCCTCCGGTCTGGTGGAGCAGGTGGAGGTGACATCAGCTGCTGCCATCATCTGCAGCAGAGTCTGAGGCGCTCCAGCATCCCACTGTCTCCTGTTTTCTGTAGCAGCAGCGTCCTGAATGAACAACTCTAGGCATAAGAAAATAACTCATTAATTTAAAAGCAGCCAAAGTGTGACTAATTTCAACAAACAGCTCTTAGGAAACCTGGAGGCAGTCTATCCGCTGGTACATTAAAAAACAATGTCCTTCTAGCATAACCAATGGACACAAGACACTGGGGGGTGGGGGAGGCCGGGGAAAAGTCAAGGGGGGGAAAAAAAGGAGACATATGTAATACTCTCTGTAATACTTTAAGCAATAAAACAAAATTAAAAAAAAAACCCATGTCCTTCTAATATAGATTGGTATGGACTAAATGTTTATGCTGCCCCCCAAAATTTGTATGTTGAACCTTGATGCTCAGTGTGATGGTATTAGCAGGTGCAGCCTTGGGGAGTGGAGCCCTCATGAACAGAATTAGGGGCTTATAAAAGAGACCCCAGGAGCACCCTCATCCTTTATGCTAAGTGTGGACACAGCAAAAAGATGGAATTGGGCTCTCACCAATCACCAATCTACCAGTACCATGATCTTGGACTTCCAGCCTCCAGAACTGTGACATAAATGTTGTTTATAAGTCACCTAGTTCATTTTGCTATAGCAGCCTGGTCTGACTAAGATGTAGATCATATTTCTGAGACAAAAATTATAAACAGGCTTAAAATTGTTTCACTTTTATTAGAAACATTTGATTGACTAGCCAATATATCTAAATGTTAAAGAAATATTAGTGACACAAATGGACAAATTCCTTGAGGCATTTATAAGAACTTTTACTTTAGTTAGTTTCCATGGAAATGCATTCTGTTCAATTATCTCAATTTTTAAAATAACTTGTGTAATCTTTTCCTTATTTATTCCCATATTTCATCCTAGAAATTTTAACAATCAAATAAGTAGAAAATAATAAAAATTACCCATAATCACACTGTCCAGAGACTATTAAAAGTTCAAAAATTTTCCCCAGCATATAGTTCTTGCTTTGTTTTGAAACAAAAAAATGGGCCACATACCACACACCCTTTTATAACTATCTTTTCTCAATTAGCAACATACCATATCCAGATTGTTAAATATTCTTCTATATAATCATTTTAAAACAAGCATAGTATTCTCTCACATGTGATCATTTAATTTTTTGGCTGGATTTTTAGGTTGCTACAGATTTTTCACTATTATAAGTAATACTACAATGAACTCATTTGTAGCTGATTTTTGTGTGGACATTTATGATGATTTACCCTAGATAAACCATTGAAAGTAACAATTCCAGGAGCTAGTATTTTTTGCTCTACCAAAGCTTTTCATTGTTAAAGTTGAATCTATTACTAACTTATTCTGTGATTTTTTTCCTATATATTTTGAATAGCAAGTTTTACCCTATCCAAATAAAATACCTATCTTTTTCTGTATTTCATTTTCTAGTATATAACTTCTATTTTTTATATATAAACTCTTTGATTTTTTTTTTTGGAATTTGTTTTGTTGTATTGTTATATAGGTTCTGATTTCACAGTTTTCCCCAAGTTGTCAACCAATTGGCCCAGCAGCATTTATTTGAATAATCTTTTCTTTTCCCATGGACTTGCTGTGTGACTTCTAGCATTCACTATATCATGATACATATTAGGGTTTGTTTCTAATCGATCTTTTTTTTCCCACTATTTTATCTATTCTGGTGCTAGTATTATATTGTTTCAATGACTATAATTTACATATCTTGTTACTTGGAAGGGTAAGTGACCCTTCACTGGTCTTCTTTTCTCATTTTTTTGGCTAGTTAAAAACCTGTAAGATTCTCCAATCTGTCAAGATCTCCTCACACCACACATACAATAAATAACTTGTTTCTCTTCATTTATTCGAGTGATGTTTTAATACCTCAAGTTAGGCAAAAGTTTAATTTAAAAGTCTTATTTAAAAACAGGCCATTTTCAGTGGAATAAAATGAATAAGGGACATGAGCACATAATTCACAACAGAAATATAGATGGTCAATATGCACATGGAAAAATTGTTCAGCCTAATAATAAGTTCTGGAATGCAATTTACTTTCTCTTTTAATTAAAAAAAGGGGGGGGCAGCTATGTCTTTTTTAAAAAAAATATATTTTATTGATTTTTTACAGAGAGGAAGGGAGAGGGATAGAGAGTTAGAAACATCGATGAGAGAGAAACATCGATCAGCTGCCTCTTGCACACCCCCTCCTGGGGATGTGCCCGCAACCAAGGTACATGCCCTTGACTGGAATTGAACCCATGACCCTTCAGTCCGCAGGCCGACGCTCTATCCACTGAGCCAAACCGGTTAGGGCAGCTGTGTATTTTGAGACATACAAATCTACTCTCTTCTCTTCCCAGCAAACTAATGCAAAGAGTAACCTTGGAATACACCCTTTCACTGAACTGCTTTTTCTGAGGCACTAAGGGCTCCTAATGGCCAAATCCCATGCTGTTAATCAAACTGCTTCACTTGGCCTTTCTCTTCTAGTTAATGCTGCCAACCCCTTTGAGATCATTACATTATCTCTACTGACCTCACTGTGCATGATACACAGGCATACCTAGTTTTATTGTAATGTGCTTTATTGCACTTGGCAGATACTGTGTTCTTTTTACAAATTAAAGGTTTGTGGCAACCCTGAGTCCAGCGAGTCTAATGGCACCATTTTCCTAACCGCATCTGCTCTCTACATGTCTATGTGCCACATTTTGGTAATTTGCACAATAGTTTCATTATTATTTGTTATGGTGATCTGTAATAATAATTTTTAAAATGTAAGTATAGTTGGCATACAATATTATATTAGTTTCAGGTGTACAATATAGTGATTTGACATTTATATACCTTAAAATGTGGCCACCACACTAAGTCTAGTAATCATCCGACATTGTGCAAACGCATCACAATATTATTGACTTGTATCCAGTGATCTTTGATGTTACCATTGTAGTTGCTTTGGAGTGCCACAAACTGCACCCAGATAAAGAAGTGAACTTAATTAATAAATGTAATATGTGTTCTGACTACTCCACCTGACTGGCCATACCCCATCTCTGTTTTTCTCCTCAGGTCTCTCTATTCTCTGAGACACAACAATATTGAAATTAGGCCAATTAATAACCCTACAATAACCTCTAAGTGTTAATGTGAAAGAGTGAATTGCACATGTCTCACTTTAAATGAACACTAGAAATTATTAAGCTTAGTGAGGAAGACATGTCAAAAGCCAAGATAGGACAAAAAGTAGGCCTCTTAGACCAAACAACTAGCCAAGTTATGAATGCAAAGGCTAAGTTCTTGAAGGAAATTAAAAGTTCTACTCAGAGATAGGAATGATAGAAAACAGCCTATGGCTGATCTGGAGAAAGTTGTAGTGGTCTGGATTGAGATCACACAACATTCCCATAAGCCAAAGCCTAATCCAGAGCAAGGCCCTGATGCTCTTCAATTCTATGCAGGCCAAGAGAGGTGAGGAAGCTGCAGAAGAAAAGTTTGAAACTAGCAGAGGTTGGTTAATTGGGTTTAAGGAAAGAGACCGTCTCCATAACATAAAAGTGCAAAGTGAAGCAAATCCTGATGTAGAGGCTTCAGCAAGTTATCCAGAAGTTCTAGCCAAGGTAATTAATGACGATGGCTACTTTACACAAAAGATTTTCAATGTAGACTGAAAACAACAAGAACAAAACAGCATGTGAAACTGAACTTTTGAACCTGATGCAGTTCCTGGAACTGGCTGTGCATCACTGAACTCTCTATTAAAAAGTAAAATTTTTACCTAGCAATAGACATAAGCAATTGATCAGGTATGGCATAATCTAAGCCTGCTTGCTAGCACCAATCACAGCTCTTTCAAAACAACTTAGGTAATCCTTTTAAAAAGCATTTTGGACTCAGAACACATGTTTGTGCCTCTTTTCTTTGGTTCATGACACCTCTGTGACTTTGAGGTCTCCTCCATCTTTGAGATTCCCTACCACCTAGCACAGTCTGTGGCACAAGGGAGATTACCAAGAAGAAGCTTGCTGAATTGAATAAAGATTTTTCCAGATGGATATAAGGAAAAGTGTATTATTCTAGGAAGTGGAAGTTGAGCCAAGCCAGGGTGTTTAAATGCTCACACCGTCATGTATGGATCCCATCATCGGTGGAAGGAAAGGGGGTGCTGGGTAGGAAAGGTGGGTCACCACAGGATCAGGCCACTCAGTGTCAAATAATACTATGTGGAATGGACTGTATCCTACAGGTATTATCAAAACAAAACAAAAAAATTTGAGTAGGGTAATAATATGATAAGATAACTAGCAATCACTTGGAGAACAGAAGGGAAATACTAGAGAAAAGGAGAACACATAGCCAATTCGGCAAGGGGAAGAGAAAAGGAAAATATAAGAGCATGTATTGAGCACCTAGCATGTGCCAGGTACTTTATATACCAAATTTCTCACAAGAAGCCTACGTGGCAGGTACTATCACCCCTGGTCCTAGGAGGAGACCGAGATGCAGAGGGTTTAAGGAACTTGTAAAAGGCCACACAATCAGAAAGTGGCAGTGCCAGCTGGGATTCAAACTCCTGCTTGTCTCCAAAACCCACGCATTTTCTACCACACACACTGCTCAGAGATGACAGGGCCCTACACCAGCGGCAGAGTGGATGAAGGAGGAGGAGTTCACCACAGACATTTCAGAGTAGAAACCACCCAGAGCAGCAGGAACTGTCAGTCTGGGGGCAGCGTTGCCCAAAGTAAAGGGTCATGAGAAGGAAATGTGCACAAGTTTGACTGCACACACGCTGAGATTGAGACGCTAGTGGGACTTGTCCAGGGAGCTTTCCAGCAGATAATGCAAAACATGGATGCACGTGGAGCTGCTGGCTGGGAGAACTGAAGCTGAAGGAGTGGGTGAAACTGCCCAAGGAGACAGTATGGACGGAGCAAGAGAGGAGGGCTAAGTCTCAGGGAGCTTGGACCCCGAGGGGTAGGCAGAGGCAGCGGAGTCAGGTCTCTGCCCAGCTCAGGGAGAGCAAGGGGACAGCTGACAGTGCAGGAGAGAGTCTGAGATGGATTGATAACAAAACAGTTCCTTCTCATCTACAGCTTTTAAGGTACACGTACCTGCTTCTGAGCAGAGTTTTTCCAATGCTTCATCTGTGTAATCCTCATGCTCCTTTATACATTTATTTTCCTTAAGCTTCATGCCATCCTCAAAGGTCAAAGTTTCATTTAGCATGTCTATGGCCTAAAGCAATCCATAGTGTTTCAAGAGAAATAAGCCATATTTAGAAAAAAAATGTTTGTGTTCCCAGCAATAACTTTTATCAAGATATACAGCAAATATTTAATATGTCTATATTGAACAAATAAGTCAGTAAAGTTTTAAAAGTGGAACTATGTTGGAACAAGATAGAAACAAGAATGTTTTAATTTCTTTGCCTTGTCAATAGTGACAAGCACTGATCATATGGCAACTTACTTTTATCCAGACTTCCTATCTTCTATAATATCCTACTGTACTTAATTTTACAGAATTCTCAAGGTTATCTGCTTCACGCCCTGTTTTAAGTATACAACATTCCTAATTGGGTCCCCAAAACTGCTCCATAATCAATACAAAAATGATCACTGTGTTTCAAGCATATCAAGGCATAGAATAATAAAGGATGAACACTCATGTAGATAAAACTTTTGATTCTATTCTTTTATCCTAGCAGGTCAGCGTTCGTGCCTCACTTCACAGAAGCACTCCTCAGGTTCCAGCCCAGAAACAGACCCATATCTGCTCCCCTCTGATACTCACAGCTCTGGGACACTTAGAGACCTAATGGTTAAATAGTGGTGAGTGCTAATTATTACCACTGTAACAAAGTCTCATGTAGCAAAATGCTAGTAAAACTCTGAAAGATAGGTGGAGCCCAGTGGGTTTTTAGGGCAGTGAAAATACTTGGCATGATATTACAATGGTGGATACATGTAATTATCTATTTGTCCAAACACATAGCATGTACAATCCCAAGAGTGAACCCCAGTGTCACTGTAGATTAATCAGTTGTAACGTATGTTCCACTCCTGTGGGGGATGTTGATGGTAGGGGAGGCTGTGCATTTGTGGGGGCAGCGATATGTGGGAAATCTCTGTCTGTACCTTCCACTCAACTTTGCCATGACTGCTCTACAACATGAAAGTCTATTAAAAAAAATACTGGTCCTTCACCACACACACACACAAATCAGAAAGAAATTATAACACTAAAAATGTTAAGCTAATGAAGAACATGAAAGAAAGAAATTGGCTATCAGGTATTAAATAGAACATATATATACATACTTAACTTTTGGTACTTTAAAAAGCAAATTGAGAGAAGGTGAAATGGAAACACAAATCAGTTGATTTTGATATCTGTTAGCAGGTCTAGTAAAAAGTGAGATTAAAAAAAGATGTTGAATTCAAGTAATAAAATGAGGTTTGAGTTTACTGTAATTGTGCATTTATTGCTGTATCAATGAGAGCCTAAATGCATAACTGAGCTTTACCCAAAGACCAGTGTAAAGACCTGAAATAAATGTGTACGGTTTCAGGGTACCTGCTCAATTTTTTAGACAAGTATATTAGTTGTTGACTATGTATTATGTCTTCTATTTTAATTATGCTATGATTAAAAGTTAATATTATAGGAAAATAAATACTTTATAAAAGAAAAATAAATTAAGTTGAAATGGTCCATGTAAGAGAATAACCTCAAGTACAAAAAGAATGAGAAGATGAAGTATTTTGGAACACTTATTTGAACACCAGAGATCCTTCTAGGAAGATTTAAGAAAATTCTCCTCCCCCCATGAAAAAATGTCATGAAACATGCTACTAAGATACTCATTTTCTCATGCCTACTAATGGAAATATGTACTTAATGACATACCTCTTCCTCTTCAAGAATATTTTCATCAGAAATACATTTGTCTAAATTAATTTCAAACTTTACTCCTCTCTAGAAGAAAGTAAGAAAAAAATCTTAGTTTAGCAATCCGATAAAAACCTTCAAATTATAACTCCCTATTTGACATTATAGATACTTAAAACCAATAGTATAACATTACAAAATAAAGCAATTCTGTAAACTAGTAGGAGAAAAATCCTATAGGCAACCCTGATTGTGCCCCCAGACAGCTTTTTAATATGAAACCAAAGACTAAATGTTTATTACCTTAGCTTTATATTTTTGTTCTGGAATTTTACTTTCCTTTATGTTCTGAAGTCTAATTTTTTTCAAGTCTCTTTCAATATCCTGAAAGTTTAGAGAAAAATTAACATATAGCATTTAATATTGATCAAACAATTATATTTTCACTAGAGGCCCAGTGCACGAAATTCGTGCACTGGTAGGGTCCCTAGCTGCTGCCGGCTGCCGGCCGGGGCCTCCCTTCCTTCCCCTGGCTACCTGCCACCAGGGCCCTCCCTTCCCCTGGCCGGCCCACCCCCTGGTTGAACTCCTGGAAGAACTCCAGTCGAGGGGACAATTTGCATACTACACTTTTATTATATAGGATTCCGTCTGAAATCACAGCATGGTATGTTTACATTATTTAATTTCTGGATTGAATCTGATGATTGATTTGAAAATAAAAACATGCCTTTACTAATAATTCACTAAAACTTGGGGGAGTGTCCATTAACTCAAAATATTAATACACTTAACACTGACATTGCAATGTGTACAACCTAATTTAATTAAAAAATGTAATTTTGACTACAGGATCCTTTCCTGAAGAGTTTTATGATCTTAATAAGGAAAACAAGAAAGGCACACAGCTCATTACAGTATAAAGAAAGGAGAGGGCTATAAACCTTGACAAGAATTTCAAAGATAGTTGAGAGGCGAACTGTAAATACTGAGCTTTTCCAGGGTTCAGCCCTAGGGCCTCTGCTCCTTTCTTCCTCAGTACAAGAGGGTTTAAGTAATTCCTATGGATTTAAGAGCTATCTTTATGCAATGATTCTTAAACGTGTATCTTCAGGCTTGATCTTTCCTCCCCTCTGAGCTTCAGACTCACATATTCAACTGCCTGCTTAGCATCATCTTCACTTCAATATTCATTCCACAAATCATACTGAGCACCCACTATGGCCAGACACTGTCCAATGGGCTAGTGCAGTGAATGTGACTGAAAATTCCCTGCTGACATAGAACTTACTGGAGTAAGATAGGTAATAAATGAATTAACAAAGTAACAGCATAATTTCAGAAAGTGTTGAGTGCCCTAAAGCAGTGGTCGCCAACTGGTGGTCCACAGACCACTTGGTGGTCTGTGAGGTCCGAAAGGTTGGCAACTGCTGCCCTAAAGGAAATAAAATAGGGTAATGGCATAGAGTAGGGGTGAGAGCAATGCAGGAAAAGACTACTGCTGTTTGCTTTAAGCCTTAGAATGAAGTAGGACCTTGGCATATGAAGGTCTGGGAAAAGCATATTCCATCAGAGGGAGCAGGAGGGCAAAGGCCCCGAAGCAGGTATGCAATCTTAGATCTTCTCTAATCAACATGTTCAATTTAACATGTCCAATGGGAACTATATGTTTTTTTTAACTGATTATAAAGTTTATTTATTTTTTATTTTTTTAATATATTTTTTTATATTTCAGAGAGGAAGGAAGTGGGAGAGAGAGATAGAAACATCCATGATGAGAGAGAAT